TGGATGCTAATTGCTGCTACTATGGGTAAAGCCAATAGAAGTGAGCCCATGTTTGGAAAGTTTCTGTAGAAGAGGGTGGAGCTGCTGGTGTCTAGAGCACTCAGGGGATGCTATTTCTTTGACGATAACATCTTAGGCTTTGGGCCTTGCTGCTGTCTTGGTTACCAGGTGGTGAGCATATCTATCTCAGAATGAGCTGAGAAGGCAGTTACTTGTGTAGCATAAGGTGAGTAATTTTTCCTTTGTCTCTAATGGGGAAGCAAAACACTTTGAACATTATCATTTAGTTTTCAGTATGAATAATTTCATGATTTTTTTCCCCAAAGAACAGGTTTAAATTTTTTATTGCATATATTTAAGGTGTACAGTGTGTGTTTTGATACACATTGTGATTAACCATAATCAAGCTATTTAACATATCCATCATCTCACATAGTTACCATTTTTGTGTGTGTGTGAAGATCTAATCTGTTAGCAAATTTCAAATATACAGTACATTATTATGAACTATGATCATCATGCTGTATATTATTAGATCTCCAGTACTTATTCATCTTATGACTTAAAGTTTGTACCCTTTGACCGAAATCCCCCATTTGCCCCAACTCCCAGCTTCTGGCAACGACTGTTTTAGTCTTTATTTCTGTGAGTTGTATGTCTTTAGATTCCACATATAAATGAGATCATGCAATATTTGTCTTTCTGTGCCTGGACTCTTATTAACTTAGCATAATGTCCTCTAAGTTCATTCAAGTTGTCACAAATGGCAGGATTTCCTTCTTTTTAAAGGTTGACTAATATTCCATTATATATATGTATACATACACACACACACACACCCCTCCTATGGTTGTTTATCCGTTTATCTGTCCATAGACACTTAGTTTGTTTCCATATCTTGGCTATTGTGAATAATACTGCAGTCAACATGGGAGTGTAAATGTCTCTTTGACATAATGATTTCATTTCCTTTAGAATATACCAAGAAGTGAATTGTGTGACAGTTCTATTTTTAGTTTTTTGATCAATTTCCATACTGTTTTCCATAAAGGCTGTACCAGTTTACAATCCCACTAACAGCGTACAAGAGTTCCCTTTTCTCTATATCCTCACCGACATGTTATTTCATTTTTTGATAATAGTCCTTTTAACTGATAAAATGGGGATATATCATTGTGGTTTTGGTTTGAATTTCCCTGATTATTAATGATGTTGAGTACCTTTATATAAAACTGTCCGCTATTTGTATCTCTTCTTTGGGAAAATGTCTATTCAGGTCCTTTGCCCATTTTTTTTATTTTTTTATTTTTTTTTATTTCAGCAAATTATGGGTGTACAGATGTTTAGGTTACGTGTGTTGCCCTTGGTTCCCCCTCCCCCCCAAGTCCGTGTTTCAAATATGTCCATCCTTCGGGTAGTGCGCATTGCACTCCTTGTGTATACAAATACCTGTCCCCTCCTCCCTCCTCCCCCCTCCTCCTGCCGCCCTCCCCCTTCCCCAGCATCCAATTTTTTAATCAGGTTATTTGTTTATTTGGTGTTGAGTTATATGAGTTCCTTATGTGTTTTGGATATTAGCCCCCATCAGGTATATGGTTTGCAAATATTTTCTCCCATTCCATAAGTTGTCTTTTCATTTGGTTGTTCCCTTTGTTGCGCAGAAACTTTTTATTTTGATGTAGTCTCACTTGTTTATTTTTGCTTTTGTTGACTGTGCTTTTGGTGTTATCTCCAAAAAGTCATTGCCAAGATCAATGCCAAGGTGCTTTTCTCCCGTGTTTTCTAAGAGCAGGTTTGGTAAGATGAAGGAAATGGCAGGAAATGCTGGGAGGCAGCAGGACCCTTGAACTATCCAAGACTGCTAAAATGGTTTGTACATAAAGTGAGAACTACCTGAGATATTTTAACATATGTCTCAAGTCTATAGGATGGATCTGGATTGCAGATTCTACAATGCTGAAACATCATTCTGTAATTGTGGAGAGAGAAGTCTGACACTTCCCAAAGGTTTAAGTAATATTGTTTGACATAGAATAAAGTGCCATGTATATTGAGCTACTCTAGGAGGATTGTTCACAGTTATTATCTTTTTGGATCAATGACAAAATAAATGCAAGAGGAGGGAGGCCCAGTGTTCTCTGGTCCCTTGAACAGAGGTGAATTTACTATAAAACAACAGCTCTTGAGCCTCAGAGCCTCTCACTTGCATAAGCCCTAGTCATGTATTTACAAGGTCATTGTAAAATTTGCAGAAGACATTTTAAACACAATTGATTAAGACCACTACCTCTTTCCACTTCCACTTCCCTTGATGTCAGGTGATGCTGGAGTGGCCGTGGCATTTTTGTATCCAACTGAAGAGCAGTTGAGTTGGGGATACATTTGGATTAGGGAAATATATTCATATTGTTCACAGTCACTTCTGTATGGAGTTAAATTACTACTAGGTGTCCTGCTGTAGCAATGGCTTCAAGAAATATTCCTACAGACTTCTGTGCCAACTCAGCTGGCATCATGACAGGACATCCACAACAAAGGCAAACTACATAAGCTTTAGGTCCTACAAAAGCTGCATCCACCCTCTCACTGGGCATAGTTCTTGGGTCATCTAGAGTCTGCAAACCTGTGAACAACCCAACTTGGCATCCCGAGTAGGAGAATGGTGGCAGAGGATCCTTTGATCCTTAGATCTCCTGCCCTGCATGGTGCTATCCTGGTCAACACTAATGAAAGAGATCCATTCTGGGAAAACTTTTGGCTTGATCCTACACTGTTATCTGAACTATAATCTAGTTTAGAGCATTTTTACTTACAAGGAAAAAAATGCACCATATATGTTTTTCTACTTGTTGTATATCCTCTCTGCTTTTGTAGCCACGTCTATAGAGTAAAAAGTATGAGTGAGAAGACTTGGCCCTTGGTCTACATGAATTCCTAATTTAACCCTTTCTACAACCATTTATTTAGTTCATTAAAAAGAGTTACTCTTTCAGCCTAGTATATTTGTGTAAAAATATATTTTTACTGGAAACAAAAATATTGTATAAATATAAAAGCTTTCATAATTGCTTAATGTAGAAAATAGAAGTTCTTCATAATAGAATCACTGCTAAGTTTGTTGTAAATTCTTAACCTTTTTTGGCATACTGTGTATGCATATCGTGCTTAACTTATTTTAAAACATTTTATGTGGCTGGTCATGGGTGAATCACTTGAGGTCAGGAGTTTGAGACCAGCCTGTGCAACATTGCAAGACCTTGTCTCTACAAAAAAATTAAAAAATAAGCTGGGCGTGGTGGCATATGCCTGTAGTTCCAGCTACTTGGGAGGCTGAGGCAGGAGGATCACTTGAGCTAAGTTGGAGTGAAGTTCAAAGTTACAGTGAATTATGATTGCACCACTGCCCTCCAGCCTGGGTGACACAGTGAGATCTTGCCTCTAATAAATAAGTGAATAAATGATGAAAAAAATAGTTGCAAAACCATTTTATGACAAAAGTGGGGTCATATGCATATTGCTTTGAAACTTGCTTTTTTCACGTCATAGTATATCTTGGATATCTTTCTGTATTCTTTTTTAAGGGCTTTATAGTATTATTTTTGTCTGGTAATACCATTAAGTAAGTCAATCAATTTTTTATATTTGGGGCTTTTTCCAGTTTTTTCACTACAACAAATGATGCTTATATATATGTGTATATATACCCATATATATAATGAGCATTCTTATTCATATATCTTTGCATATTTTGGGAGTTTTTTTTCCCTGTAATATAAATTTCTAGCCATGGAATTGCAGGATCAAAAGATACATACATTTAAAAATGTTAACAGATGTTTTCAACAGATGTTTACCCTTTATATCATTGTATCAGTTCATAGACTTGCCAATAATGTATGAATGGGCACATTTATCTCCACCCTTGTCAATCCAGTATTATCAATCACTTCAATCTTTGCCAATCTGAAAATGGTAGCTAAGGGTTCCTTTAATTTTTATTTAATAGTGAAATTGAACATCTTTTCATACCTTCATTTATTATTATATTCCTCTGTGACTTGTCTGCTCATGTCCTTTACCTATTTTGGAAAAAAAACAACATTGGATTTGCATATTATTGGGGAACCTGTGGTCTCCCTGTGGCCTTCCAGATCCCCAAGTGTGGCTCCTTGACCCAATCCAAACTTCACAGAACAAATTCTTTTAATAAGTGAAGAGTGAAGTTGTCACTCTTCTCCCTAAGTCAAGGAAAGAGCCTAAGTCTGAAGCAAGGGTCCCTTGGCCAGACTTCCAAATGCTCTTGTTCTACCAGAGAGTGCATACCACGAATAGTTTATTTTTATTTTTCATGGTTTTACTGCTCAATATCAACCTCTACACTTAACATTTATATTTAGAAAAGTTAGACATTTTAATTTTTTAGGAAATTAGTGTTTTTGAAATACTTCTAGATTTAGTACCTAGGTCAAATTGTGTTGGATATTTTCCATGGAAATTGTATTTTCTTATTTTGTATGGGTTAGATCTTGTTCATAATTCTAATACATATTAAGTACAATGAAAATATATTTTAAATATCCTTAAATTAAGACTTGCTATAAACAATGGGATTGTCAGAGAAGGGAAACCTCTGGATCAGAACTTGCAGATAGCCCACTGGCTATATCTTCTCCACAGAAATGTCCCTCATAGCTTAAGTAACTTTTTGAACTAGTTGCTAAGGCTTGAAAATGGAGTTTATCTTGAAAAATGGAATTTCTGACAATAATGGAGTATATACATGTTAGTAATGAACTGTAACTACATTGTGGCTTTTATTTTTAGACTAAGTGGTTTCCAGTTTGCCACAGTTCTTGCCATTCTTTAATGTTTTATGCGTAGCTTACTTCACCCATGTACACTGTGTACATTGCCCTTCTTTATTTGTAGGCAAATAAAAAATATAAAAAGGCATGTATGTAACGAATTCCTTAATTTTTTTCATTAAATCAAGACATCAAAAGCTTCTTTGCTTTATTGTTTATTTTTCTGGTGCATTCATCTCCTTAAGAGGTGGTAAGAAATACAGAGACATTAGAAGCAGTAAACATCCCAGAGATACTTTCATCTTTAGAACTTTTCCCAACAAACCACTCCACTGGCTGGTGAAAAAGATGTCTGGAAAGGTTTATATTTCCTGGAGTTCCACTATCTTACGCTGCAATTTCTTTAGGTCTTTCTGTACTTTATATTTCTCTAAATCCATCTTTGTTTTCTGTATTTGTTGGAGGGAGCTGAGAGAGTCATGAACCGATTTAAATCCTGGAAGAGGGTAAGAGAATAGGTATACTTAATGCATTGGTACTTTTTTTTTTTTTTTTTTCAAAAGTTGCTAATCAGCAGTCCTGCCATAATTCATCATCATTTAATTCAAAGCACATTAAATTCCATTAAGACCAATCTAAAAATGTGTATAATCCATTTCTTGTGTCATGAAGATGCGTTAGCAATAGTGTTTCAACTTGTATCTGCTTTCATTGTGAAATTTTAATTATTTTCCTTCCCCTTCCCCAAATATATTGAACAATGAAATGATTCTATATTTCAAGACAGAAATTTAAAATATTTTCTTCTTTTTGTAAGCTTTGACAAGAGATTTGTGTGATCTCTCTTTTTTTATTATTCTTGTTACGAAATTGAAGGTAAAGATAACAGATGAGAGTTTAACACATTGACTGCCCTGTGAGTTGTATTTAACTCAGACTAGTTTTGAGCCTGGGGCCTCGTGAAGCAAAACCTTGCAGTTGGTTCGTGAAAATCTTACTTGTTGATGTTCTTATTGTTACAATTAATATTGACAATTTAATTCTAAAAATGTGGATTGTGTTGCATATAACTAAACACAGAAAACAATACAAAATAACAAATTAGAAAGGATCGTTTGTTTTAATAAAACAGAATGGCTCCAGGGAAAATTTTTTTTTCTATTGTGGCAGTCAGTGTGTTAAAACTTCTCTGAAAGTAACTATTCAAGGGACCTAAGGAGCGGCCACCTGCTCCCCTCCTCCCTCCCAGCACTTTGTATTTCTCTTATGCACATCTAGTCACTCATGACCAGAGACCTACCAGACCTCAAGCTTCTTAGGCTACAGCCCATTTCTTATTTACTGGGACCTTTCATGTAGTTGTTTCTCAACACGTTTTTACTAAAGGCATAAAGGAGCAAATCATTAATTTGAAGTCTCCTTTTGCTAGTACTCTCCCTTAGTAAAATGCAGAAACATGTAGATTGTAAAGTGTTCTTCAGCTCATCCTGAGGATGTACTAATGGAATAAGTGAAATTGAACCTCTGATAGTTAAGCAGAAAGCAGGGCCTTTAAAAGAAAGGCCAGTTAAGTTTGGGACATGATTCCTGGTCAGATAATTCATTATTTGATTTGGTGGTGGAAGATGGAAGGGGGAGTGGCTGTCGTGAAGGTTAGATTTCTAGGCAGCAAATTCCACCTGTATGCCAAAAACATCTGGTGGAATGAGACCACGATGTCCTCCCAAGGCATCTTCAAGGTATCTACATATAGGACCAAAATTTGGTAGAATTTACACAAGAATTTTTGTGAGATCTGGAGGATGGAAAATGAGTTGGGGCTTTCTCTAATAAATAAACCCTTCTGATTCCTGGTGATTCCCTCAGAATTATGACTCGAGGCAGATGGCTGCTCCACAGAACCTATCTCATGTCCTTCCCTTTGACAAGTTAGATGAGGCTTTCAAATTAATCCTCTTTGAAGTTAGCTCAGCTTGGCACTGCTGCCATTAGCCTCTTAAGAAGAAAAGCAGCCATTACACTGGACTCTGCTAATTCATCTCTCTTTCTCACTTCTAAAGGTCAGGTCTCCAGTCTGACATCTGTCCAGGCTCATTACCTGCAGTTCAATGAGGGGTCATGTGTTTTAGGCTCCTAATTTTATAATATACCTATACATCAGGTCTTCGTGATCTCCAAGGACTTGCCAAGTCTAACAATTCTATGACTGTGTGATCTTAGTAAAAAATCTCACAGCAATGACAGGCTTGTGACATTGGCAAGTGTGAATGAAGAAAATTAACTTATTTACATGCCTTCCAGTGGTATAATGACATTCTGTGGAATATTTAGAAAAGCCAGATTAAATACATAAGGATGTCACTAGTGACAAGATTGGTCCCTGGTTATTAGCTCAAAGTAGAAAACTCTGAGGGATTAGGCAGGCAAGGACAGATGTTCTTAATAAAAGGTTATCTTCTCACCTGACTGATATTCATTCTGCATTTTCTCTAATTCACCCCAGATGTGCTTCTCCATTTGGTTCATCTTTTTGGATAATTTATTTTCTATATGCTTTACTTTGCTTAGTTGCGCTTCTTGTTTCTCTGTGTTAATGAAATTCTCTAATTTGCTTGAAAGTTGTAGCCATTTTTCTTCCATTTTGTTTTCAGACTTTTCCTATAAAAGAGATCATGTGATAAAACTGCAGGAAAGAAAACTTATGTAGATTGATATTTCAGCTTAGAGAAAATGTTTTTAACATTCATTTTTCCATGCTAAGCATGCAAATTCAAACCAAGGTCCCTTGTATCTAAAACTGTGTTGATAAGTGTAAGAATTCATCCCTTTGTTTGAACTTGTGCATTTGTGGTTTCTGGAATTCTACATGTTAGGGAAGAAAAGAGAAGGGCTGTAGCCTTGCTGAAATGCCTTGAGGATTTGGAATTTTAGTCTAGTGTTTAAAGAAGTGCAGCAAAGGAACACATTTTAGATACCACTTTCCCTGAGCTCCTTGGACATACTCTCTTGAGCTTCCGATCTCCATGTGGACAGATTTCAGCTAGAATAGTGACTCGCCACTCCAATTGTTTATTAGAATCACCTGGATCATACCCCGCCCCCAGAAATTGATTTAATTGGTCTGTGATGGAACTCAGGAATTGATAGGGTTTAAAAGCTCTCCAGGTGATTCTAATGTGCAGCCGGGGTGGGGACTGCAGAGACAGACTTAAGTTAACTAGCTCCTTCTCTCCTCACTTCTCCACAGGGAATTTGGGAGCAGGAACTGGGCATGACTGGCATGGCCTCTTTGGTTCTCCTCTCGTTGGCCCTGCCTACCTCAGGAATGGTAGATTCCCAACTCTCTCTTCCTTGTGGTGGGAGGCTTAATGCCTGCATGGTGACCCCATGGTCACCTGGTGCTGCCTATGGGGTAGAGGAATCTGCCTAATTCAGGGGTGAAGAACTAGCAGGCCCACATGGCAGCTGCAGATCTCACTGTACATACTTTGATGGCCGTATCAGTGATAAAGCTGTTGGACTCCTTTCTCACTCCATCAGTTGTTTGCAAACTTAGGTAGGGGCATTATTTACTGAGCTGCCTCTGCCTGAAGCTCCTCCACGTAAGTTCTCAAAACCTCTTATTTGAATCATCTGCGGAACTGGCAGCTACTAACCACGGTGATGGCCCTGCACTACCCTCCCCATTGGCTTGGATGTGGCGGTTGCAGTGCGAGAGGAGAGCCCTAAAGTAAGTATATTTCTCATATATCATGGTAGCCTCACCCCAAAGCTTGGGGCTATATTTACATGTCTGACCTGAAAAATGAGTTTGGAAACCTTTGACCTAAGCAGAAGTGTTCAAGCTTTCTTGTATCTGCACATCACCCTGGGAGCTTGTCCATAACCACTGATTCCCAGTGCAGGCCCCCAGAGAGTCAGACTCCCCAGATCTGGGGTGGGAATCCATACTTTAAAAAAAATCTCTCCAGATTATTATGGCACAGGTAAGAACATACTGTGAGAAATGTAGGTTCACAGAGGTAGGGAGTAGCAAAGAAGCCCAGAAGACAGGTCTCTGGACTCCTATTGTTGTGCTTTAAAAAAAAAAAGTTACCGACGCAGTGAAGATTACTGTAATGTTGGAAGTGCTACCTTCCAGACCTTTACTCGTTGCAAACATCCAGGCAATGAGCATGCAGCTGGTTACTTCACGAATTAACAGAGCTCCTTACCAGTTTCTCCTGCAGGGCCTTCAGACATTCATTTATGTGGCTCAGGTGATCTTTTCTATGTTTGATGAACTGGTTTTCTGTCCATTTTTGATTATTCTCAACTTCTTCATACAGATTACTTGAAAGTGAATTAAATCTAAGGGAAAAATGTTTTTTTCTCTTTTAATAAGTGAATTTAAACATAAAACAAAACTTCAGTGTTGAAAAAGTCTGCAGTGTTTTGAGATGAGACTCAGTGTGTCTACTCAAGTACTTATGAGGTGATGTGGGGTGGGGGAGTCAAGGTAAGTACACTCTGTGTCCCTCCCCCGAGCTTTAGTTCATTCAATCCAGCTACTGTCGACACCCCTCTGCATGCCCTAAAATACATACACAGAGTGACAGGAGCACCACCAGCTCAGTGCTAACCACAGCCATGCAGAAATGCATTGTTATCCATACAGAATAACTCTCAGGGCCCAGAGCTCATTGTTTGTGTGTGGAGGAAATACTTTGTTAAGTCCACTTGGGCTGAGGGGTATTACTTTATGGTAGGGGTCAGCAAACTTTTTCTGTAAAGGGCCAGATAGTAAATATTTTAGGCATTGTAGGCCATGTGGTCTCTGTTGCAAACCACTCAACAGAGCCATGGCAGTGAAAAGGCAGCCACAGATAATACGTAAGCAAATGAGTATGACTATATTCTCATCAAATTTTATGTACACTGAAATTTAAATTTCATGTTTAATAATATTCGCTTGTCATGAAATATAATTTTTTAATTATTAGAAAGTGTAAAAACCATTCTTAGCTGTGGGCAGATATGGCTGGGGAGGGGCAGGTTGTTGAACCCTGCTCTATAAGCACCACTGTGAGGCTGGGAGAGGAGCTGGGCAGAGATGACCCGCATTGTCTAGCAAAGGAGAGAAAAGGCAGAGGCAGGAGGATGCAGGCGGGAGAGCCCCAAAAGAACTTTGGGAACACAGTGCCCAAGGGGGACTTTAGACTGCCTTTGTCTTGGGTGAAATCTTCAATAAATTCCCATTGCCACCAATGGATCTATATAAGTGGATTTTTTTTTTTTTTTTGGTGGGGCGATGCTTAAAGAGACACTGAATTATTCATGTGGGGCAAAAACAGAAGTAATTAGAGCTGCAGGAAGGGACCTATGAGACCCATCAAGATGACACACCATAGGAGTAGTATAATAGAGAATGGAGGATTTTTAAAAAATGGGAGTGGAAGATATTAAAGAGATTAAAAGGAATGGAATCATGTACCATCAATTTTAAAAGTCGCTGTGGAGTGGCTGAGGGTTTGAATCCACATGGGGAGGGGAGTCCACATCTGAATTGATTGAGAGAAATGGGGTTAAGATCCACCCTGCAGAGCTGGGTACATTTTGAGCACTTAGTAAATGGTAGGCCTTTATAAATGACAATTACTATATTTATTATTTCTGTCTACTGATACATCTCATTTAACATTGTCTTAACTTTTCCTGTGTTTAGCTTTTCACTTATTTATGTTTTCTCTCCAACTGTATGTGGTGAGGATTGTATCTTTGGCTATTCCAAAACACATTTTACATACTATAGGCGCTCAAAAATCATTCATTCATTCATTGGTTTCTACTTGTGTTTGAATGTGCTGGGTGCTAAGGATACAAAGATGGATGAGACATATCCCTGCCTTGGATAGTTTTTAACTTTCAACTATGGTAGCGTTTTGAAAGTTGGACGATAAGATTTGGGTCTATGCATTTGCTTCACTGACCAGATATTTTTTCTTTTCTTATAAATCACTGCCTACTAAACAAGCATCAGCAATAAGAGCTATCTAGGGAGTGACTGGCAGGTGCTGCTCCTGCCAAGCCCTTGTTAAAAGACAACTTTATTTCCTGATGGCCACGACTCTTGCCATGTAAGCACTAAGTTGTTGGCTTTGGACATTACTTATCTGAACATCTGACTGAGACCCTTCTGGAAGGAGGGGGCAGAGTGGAGGGGTTCCACATGCTTCTCTTTATCAGGTCTAGTGATCAGTGTCCAAATCCCAGGAATTTATTAGAAAACCCCCAGACAATATTGTGGCTTTTAAGTTCAATATAAAATGTAAGTTTTGTTTTCACCATTAAAGTTGATTTTGTTAAAATTTCTAAATGGGAAAGTTGTTTAATTAAACTTAACCTTTAATGTTATTAAAATGCTTTTATTTAAAAGTTAATCCCTTTGTTCAGAGATAGTTCTTTAAAAAAAAGAAAAGCAAATTATATACCCTATCTTAATTTTAAATTTAAATATACATCAAAATCCTAAAGTTAGCATCAATTTATATACTTTTTTTTAAGTTTTGGAACTATTTATTCCTATTTTTGTTCAAAGTTAGCCTTGCTAAAAGCTAAAATCTAATAAACCAGATTAAAACAAAGTGCTCTGATTGAAAACAAAAAGAAAGTCCTATCAGCCTTACTTTCTCTTTTAGCAAAATATATTTCAATACGTATCTCAGTCAAAGGATTAATATCTCTAATGTGAAAGAATCCTATAAATTGATAAAGACTAAAATCTCAATATAAAATTCGATAAATGGTCAGAATGGCCAATTCACAGAAAATTCAAATGAAGGGCATACAAATTAAAACAGATGCTTTCTCTGTCCTTTGATTGGCAAATATTAAAGAGCATATTCAATGTTGGTAAGAATGTAGAGAAGGCCTTCTCATACATTGCTGGTGGTAATGTAAATTGCTACAACATTTTGAGAAAGAATTTTTTACTTTTTTTGAGATAGAGTCTTGCTCTGTCCCCTGGGCTAGAGTGCAGTGGTGTCATCATAGCTCACTGCAACGTGAAACTCCTGGTCTCAATCAATCCTCCTGCCTCAGCCTCCCAAGTAGCTAGGACTAGAAGCATGTGCCACCACACTAGGCTAATTTTTCTCTTTTTTGGATTATAGAAATGAGGTCTCACTCTTGCTCAGGCTAGTCTTGAACTCCTGATCTCAAGCACTCCTCCTGCCTTGGCCTCCCAGAGTGCTAGGATTACAGGCATGAGCCATCATGCCAGGCCAAAATTTTTAAAATTATTAAGTATATATACTCTTTGATCTAGAAAGTTTGCCTATAGAAATAAAAGTACCAGTATAAGGGTATCTAAGGATATACACATAATACTATTTTTTGTTTTTATGATGACCATAAACTAGAAATAATATATTCAGTAATAAGATAAATAGTTGAATTAATTATAGTACATATATAAGCTAAAATATCATGCAATTATGATATTAGTATATTCTGCAGAGAGATCCAGGATATACTGGGAAAAAGCAATTTATTGAGTAATGTGTATGGGAATTATTTTAATAACCGATGCTTTATATATATATATATATATATATATACACACACACACAATGTACACATACCCTTTTTCTGTTGTATATTAACAAGGAGGAAAGTATGGAAAAATAGATATATCCTTGGTGTTAGCATTGGTTATATTAGGAAGCTGAGATGGTGACCTCTTTTTTCATTTTTGTTTTATTTTGTTCATTATCATAAATGCATATTAGTTTTTAATAAAAACTGGAGAAAATTTAAATAAAAAAGAATCAATTGTATAACTAAATGAATTATTAGAGCTCATTAAATATTTGCATGAGGAAAATATGATTTATAGATTTACTGCTACTTCCTGTAATACTACTGAAATTTTAAGACTTCATTACTTAAGTGAGAAAAAGATTCAAGTTCACATTATCATAAAAGTGTCCGGGTTCAGATTTAACTATTTAGATGCCTGGCTTTAAGCTGATTTCCTACAATACCAAAGACAGAAAAAAATAAGCATTATCATTAATGAAGCAGTCAGCCCTAGATCTCAAATATTTTTTTTCCTCTTTTCCATTTGCTAATATATTTTATCCCTTTAAGTTAGTCTTCCATTCCAGATTATAAATTGCATCTCTTCCCTATAAAATCAATTCTTAATCTGTATATTCAGAAACAGATTTCTTTTCTACTTTCCCTTTGAATACTTTTGTCTTAATTCCAAACTAAAAGTATTAGATTAAGCATCACACAGCTATTTATTGAGCACCCTAACTGTGTTAGAATTTAAGAACCTAGAAATGCTTTCTTAGAATGAGAAGAAAGTAGGTATTTTCTGTTTACTCAATCCATCTACTTCTCCAAATTTTCATGATGACTATTGTTTTTTTAATCAATTTCTAAGACACACATATTTCCCATTTTAACATCTCCAAAATCAGACGGTGTCTGAAAATGAGGGTATGCCATGGTTTAATTGTTAGCTTCATGTCTCAAAGGTACAAAAATAGTGTGTCTTATAGTCAAAGGCATTAGATTTAATAAAACACAGTAGAGACAGAAAAATGGAGAAACCAGAGTATTACTAACAGAGTATTGATTTGACCAAGATATTAAACCCAAGTAGTATGAGACACAGAAGAAAAAGAACAAGGATACAAGGGACAGTAAGGTAGTATCCAAGTGACTATAATTTTGCCTTTGTTCTTTGCCTGCACCCAGGACCCTGGGACATGGTTGTCATTTAAATAAGAAAGAGACATTTGAGAATAAGGAGGCCAGAAATTTGAATGTTTGTGGAGCCCTGTCTCCTTTACTGCTTTCTCTATTGATTAGGGGGAAAATTCAGTTTAAGATGGAATAGAGCTCAGTCTTAAAAAGGAATAAATGGAGAATCTTAGAAGAAATCTTAAAGGAAAAGTTTGTAAATCAAAATTGTTTTGAAAAACATTTGATAATCTTGAAAAATCAATTTATATTCAATAGTGCTTTAGATTGAGGCATTTTAATATACAATTGGTGATAAAATTACAGGAAGGGTTAGAATGAGCATGTCAATTCAGTTAAGATACAAAGATAATGACAAATTAATATTCATATTTCTTCTTTTATTATGAATATTGTACAAGTTACTTTAGAATATTCTCTGCATCTGTTGGCTGCTTTATTTCTTGGCCAGATTCAAATTCCTGGGGTAGGTTTTTATATAATGCCAAAGCTTTCATTAGGCAAAACTCTTTGGAATGCATTTAACAGAATTAAAAATCTTCTATTCACTTACTTGAATTCCAAAATGTTCATTTCATGGTGATAATCCCCCTGGACCATCTTTAAATTGGAGGTTTGCTCAGAACTGGCAGTCTCTATCTTTCCTAAGAGCTGCATTACCTAATGAAAGTACAAGAGGGAGCTTTTTTGTGTGTGAACAAAACCACCAGCATTTACATTAATTATACTTTAACCCTAAAGTGAGCCAGCAAACACACTTGAACCTAAAGCACAATTACATTTGAAAATGATTTTTTTTCAAGTGAATATGAATCAGTTACACTGTCTTCAGGGAAAAATAATAGGGGGTGTTCCATTCTGTTGTCTGTAATATTCTTTTTGATCATAGGCTATTTAAGGGTATAACAAAAACATGCTATTGCCAATTGTTTGTTTAATTTGTTCATTTGATTATTTCTTTACTTTCTGTCTCCCTGGTTACAATGTAAGCCACTATATCCTATCACCACTATATCCAGTGCACATTAGATGACAAATGGTAAATGCTCAACAAATACTTATTAATAAATGTTTAAATGCACAATCAGGCTCTGAGGAAAACATATATGACTGGCCAAGTATTATGTGTCAAGGATTTCCAGATTGTATTCTGACATAAGCACAAGTGAATCCCATGTGAAATGACATATAAAAATAGGAAAAAAACAAGTTCCAGTTCTGGAATTTAAGATTAGAATATCTTCCACATTGCCAGAAACACTGAGAAAGTTCCTTTAGGTAAAAGAACTAGATTAATAAATAGATGCAGAATTAAAGCCCATAATCATGCCTAAAGAGAATGAAACTACGTGATTAGCCTTGGTCAAAATAGAATTCAACTCCTAATACAGATGACCATAGGAAGGAGAGTGGTCATTTAATTAAAATCTGAGTTCTCTTAGAAAATAATGATGGAAATAATGTAAGAGTTTGAATGGATAAATGTTGGGTGAACAACCAATAGTACCTGAATGCTATTTACAGGAGACACATTTAAAACAGGGTAAATGCAGAAATGTTATAAATAAAATAATAGGTAAATATATTCCTAGTAAAGGCAAAGAAAAAGAAAGCAGCTAGAGCAGTATTAATGTTACATAAAATGTCATTCAAGGCAAAATATGTTAAAAAAAATTGGGACAAAGATGGTCATCTTTACAGATAAAGAGTAAAATGCACATTGAAAAATAGGGGGCTTTGAACCTTTATTTACTTTGTATATTCAGCTAAGATGCAACAGCTTTTTAGGATAAACTAATAGAGATGATGTATTAGTCATTTTAAATGAATTTTCTTGACTCTTTACTGGACAAATAAGTAAAATATAAATAATATAGGAAGATATGAAAAACAAATTTATTTAAGAAATTTGTATACCAAACTGTGTATCTTGCAAACAGCAAACACTCATTCTTTCCCAGTGCCCACTGAGCATTTCCAACAACTAAGCACATGTGTGACTATAAAGAAAATCTCAAATTATTCTAAAAAGCAAGAAAAGCATACGATATAACTCTTTCACTACACTAAAATTAGAAATTAATAAGAAAAGTATAAAGAAACAAAAATCCAGTTACTTGAATAAAAACAACAACAAAACCCCTGCTCTTTTAATTCTAGTGCTTCGCATGAAAATGTGCCTCTGATATCCTATTGCAAGGAGCATAATTGGCCAAGGGCTTTGACTGCTGTGCTCAAAATCCATCACTGTGTATCCGGACCGTGATTCCCGTGGGCCACTCCCAGACAGTGTCTGAGTTGTATTCCTTCGATGAGTGATTTTGGTTCAGTGACTCAAGGAACTTGATGAAATGATCATAGAATGGCATTGCACTCTAAGGCCTTTTTTCCTCATGTTTTTCACAGAAACCAAACCTGTATCGCAGTCCGAAGATTTTCCCCATCTCATCCAGCTCCCTTTCCATTTTTCCTCCTAAGTTTTTCCCTCAGTAAACCCTTGCACACCTAATTCCTTTATCACATTTGTTTCTCAAAAGATCTAGACTAACACAAGTGTCAAAATCAACTCTACAATTATAATTTACTTAAATAGAAATGATAATGAAAACATTACATGTCAAAAGGACGGAGCCAAATTTATAATCAGAAGTAAATTTGTGGCATTAAATATTTTCATAATTATATAAGAAAGAATGAAGCTATGTAAATGAACCATTCATTCACAAAGTTAAAAAGAGTAACAAACGTAACCAAAGGAAAGCAGGATGTAGAAATTGACACATTGAAGGAGGTAGAATGGCCCTATAAACAGAGCCATGCTGTAATTCCTGGAACCTGTGAATATATTGTGTTACAAGGGATTTCCAGCTATGATTAAGGTTACAGACCTTAAAATAGAGTATTCTGGATAATCCAAGTGAACTTAATTTAATCACGTGAGCCCCTAAAAGCAGAGAACTTTCTCTAGCTGGAGTGGGAGAGCTGCAGCAGAAAATGAAGTCAGAATGGATTGAAGCATGAGATGGATTTGACCTGCTATTGCTGGAGAGAGGCCACGTGGAAAACATGAGAAGGAAGACAGGCAGCCACTGGTTTGAAGACTGGCTCCCAGTTGACAGCCAGCAAGAATCTCAGTCCTACAACTGCAAGAAGCTGAATTTGACCACAAGCTTGAATGAATCTGGAAAAGGATTCATCCCCAAAGGAACACAGCTCTGCAGACACGTCGATTTCTGCCTCGGGAGACCCTGAGCGGAAGGTCCAGTCTCGCCTCCTCCCAACTTTTGACCTGCAGAAACTATGACATAATACACTTGTGTTGTTTTATACCACTATGTTTGCAGGAATTTGTTATGGTAGCAATGGAAAACTAATACACAGACATTTTAAAAATTAATAAGAAAAAAAGTTATGGGATTGATAGGTAAATCTAAGAGCTGGTTCTTTGAAAAGGTAGTAGATAAAATTTTTTCTACTCTGAACATGAAGAAAAGAGAGGAAACATAAACATTAAAATTAGGAATAAAAAAAGTTATGAATATCTATAAGCCAAGTAATATAGCAGAAACATTCTCACCTGAAATTATAGGTGAAATGGAAGCACAATAATTATAGGAGACTTTAATTCACCTCTCTCGATCTAAGAACAGAAACAGCAGACCAAAAAATAAGGATAAGAAGATTTAACCAGTAAGTTATTTCTTATAGATAATAAACTTTGTACTCTAGAAATACAGAATACACATTCTTTTAGAACATGTACAAAAATCGACTACCAAAAAAAAAAGAAAAAATCGACTACCCAGCCATCAAAAAAATACCCCTCAAAATAGTTCAAAAATTGAAACTGGTACACACAAAAAATTTTACTTACAATGAGACAAAACTAAAAATGAATACAGCCATAATAAAATACAAAGTCTTTAACTCAGAGGGGGAAAAAAACCAACTCCTCTTAACTGTTTAAGAGAAAATACAATATGCAATTGCAGAATTTCTAGGAAACAATAATGAGATTACTACATATCAAACCTTAGGGGTAAAAGGAGAAAAGAACAAATGAATGCTCAGGGAAAATTCGCATCCATACATGCTCATATCAGTAAAAAAGAGAATACAAATACATATGCTTTAAAAAGTTAGAAAATGAATGACAAAACACACTGCAGGCAAGGAAAAAAATTAATAAAAATACAAGCTAAAATTGGTGAGCTGGAAAACAGAATAGAAGCAGAACTAAAAATACATAAGAATATTGGCTCATTACAGAACAATTAGTACAACTATTAAGGCACAACTAACTGAATCAAGAAAAAAAGCGAAAAGCACAAATATACAAAATAATAAAATGGTAAGAGGAAATAAAAGCAGAGGGAATTAAAACTATCTTAAAAGTATTTTGCACAACTTTACACAAATTTCAAAATTTGAAGGAAATATGTATTTTTTCCAAGAAAAAGTAATTTACTAAAGCTAACCTCTGAAGATTAGCTTTAGTAATCCTCAGAGGTTAGCTGAATTTTCACATAAAAAGTTGAGCAAATATATCAAAGGGCTCCCTTCTCCACCAAACTGTCAGGCTCAGATGTTTTCAGGGGCAAATCTACCAAATCTCTAAAGAATAGATAATTATAATTTTTAAACTGTTTCAGAGCATAGAAAAAGGAAAATTTTCGAATTATTTTAGGAAGTCAATACAACATTGATTCTAAAATCTGAAAAAAAATTGCACAAAACATAGGTTAATCTTATAAGCATTTATGCAAAATTCTTAAACTATCAGCAAACATAATCCAGCAGCACAAATACATCATAATCAATACAATTTATGTTAGAAAAGCAAGTATGGTTTAATAATAGAAAATGTTATTATATAAATAATTATGCTAGTATAACAGGAGAAAACTCACATGATTCTCTTCATAAATGCTGAAAAGGCATTTGACAAAATTCAATAATTTTTGATTTTAAAATATTCAATAAAATAGGAATAGTTAGGTATTAAACATCCCTAATGGGGATACTTACTTCCCCCATCATAAGGGAAACACTGGGGGCATTTCTGTTAAAGTTAGGAACAAGACTGGGATGCCCACTATTCCCATACTACTATTTAACATTGTCTGGAATAAGTAAAGCAATTAGAAAAGAAAGAGAGATCATGTTTATGAAAATGGTAAAACTATTATATTTAGTGTATCTGGGGACAAAATAAATTACTATGATCAAGAAAAGAATTCACTGGAGTATGAAATTAATACAGCCTTCATAATATACAACTAACAACTAATTAGTAGATATAATGAAGCTCCTGTTATAATAAACGAAGAAGAAAAAAGATTAAAAAATCTTGAAATACATTTAACAGGAAATGATGTCAAATCTACACAAGGAAAATTTGAAAACAAGCCTGAAGGGCATAAAAGTGATCCTGAACAAATGGGAAGCATACTGTGTTCTTGGATAGATCATTCAGCATTATGGCTATGTCAATTCTTAAGTTTGTAAATTTAACATGATTTCAATAAAAATTAAAATAGAGTTGACTTGAGTTATTTTCTGGAACTAAACAGGCTGATTTTAAAATCGTATGCAAAAACAAACTAATTATTACCAGGAAAATAGGAAAAAAAAGTAGTGGAAGGAACTAACTCTACCAGATATTAATAACTAAAACACACCTTATATTAGGAAAACTCCAAATGGATCAAGGATTTAAATGTAAACAATAAAGCCATGACAGTGCTAGAGGAAATATGAGCAATTCTTTTAAGGATTTGTGTAAAGAAGCTCTTTCTGTGACTTAAAATTCCAGAAGCCACAAAAAAAATAAATTCAGCTATAAATAAGTGCATGTCAAAAGTCAAAAGACCAATGACAAGCTGGGAAAATGTACTTGCAGCTCATATCATAGAGAAAGGGCCCATCTCCTTAACATATTAATATGAGCTCCTAGAAATAGAGAAGAAAAAGAAAAATAGCCCAATGGACAAAAGGCATGAATAGAAAGTTCACCAAAAAGGAAATACAAATAGCCCTTAAATATGTGAAAAGATGCTCATCTTCACTTATAATAAGAAAGACTAATTAAAACACAAAGATACTGTCTTTTTCCTATAAGAATGGCAAAATTCAAAAGTTGAACAGCACTGCATTGGTGAGGCCATGGGGATATAGGACATCTGGTTGTTATGCAATAAGGTAATAGCCCTATAAAAAGCAATTTGGCAAGATCTTTCAAAATAACAATCATATGTACCTTTTGATCCAGAAATTCCACTTATGGATATATATGCTACAGATATATCTACACATATACAAAATAACATAAGTGCAAGATTATTCATTGTAGCACTATTTGAAAGAGCAAAGTATTATGAGGGACTGGTTAAGCAAACTGTTACATACAAAGGAACAGTATAGTATGCAGTTTTTAAAAAGAATGAGAAAGCTCTCTATGTATCGATATGGAAAGATCTCCAGGATATAGTTATTTAGTTAAAAAAATGTGTAGCAACATATATGCTGACTTTTGTATAATATGGGGGAAATAAGAATTTGCATTTGCATTTGCTTATGTCTGCATAAAGGCATACTACAAAGATTCACAACAGACCTGTAAAAATGATTACCTGTGAAGGTCATGAAAAGATATATGAATAGTGACAGGTGGAAGTGAAAATTCTCTTGGTATGTTTTCTTATATAGTTTTGATTTTTTAAACCATATATATTAAAAAAAACACTAAGAAAGAAACAGAGAGTCCAATGTCACTTTTGAACTGAGATGCAAAATCAAATACTGAATAGACAATAACTGTATAGCTTTCATTACAGAAATGCAAGAATTGGGAAATCTATTAGCTCATTAGAAGGCCAAAGAAGTAAACAAACAAGCAAATCCTCAAACCAAAGAAAAACCAATATGGTGATTCTAGGAATTTGTTGATGTCTAACAGGCATTTGATAAAATTAAATGTTCAGTCCTAATAAAAACTAAATGGGCATCGATCGCATCAATGGCTACTTCCTCACATGATTAAAAATATTTCAAACCAACATCCAACAGAAAACAACAAAGATTTTCCAAGTATAATCAGGAACCAGATAAGCTGTCTTCTATGACAATTTTATTTAACGGCGTTCTGGAAGTTCTGGTCAAGACCTTAAAAAAAAGTGATGACAGGATATAAAAGTAATATACACAAATCAGAGGCTTTCATATACGCCAACAGCAGTCATACCGAGAACCAAATCAAAGACTCAATTCCCTTCACAATAGCAACAAAGAAAATAAAGTATCTAGGAATATATTTAACTAAGGAGGTAGAAGACCTCTACAGGGAGAACTATGAAACACTGAGGAAG